AAACCAAACCTTTGTATCTATGGAAGAATTTAGTAAAGGTTTTTAAGTAATTTGTGGTCACGAAATCCCAGACCTAAAGGGGCATTAGCTGTTAAATTCATGTTCACCGATTTGACTCAAATTCTCATATTTGACTTATAACATACTAAAACGTATATCCAAATTATAAAAAGTCTAAAATAAACATGAATAAAGATATAAATAGCTATATATATAAATAGCGAACTCGTGCAATTGGATTTTTCTAGGTCGGTTTGATTTCATATTATAGGTTAAAAATATGTTAATAATTGTTATAACCTGTATAAGAATGAGTTTTTTGGGGATCGAATCAGTCAACCAAATGGTTTACCCTTGTTTCACTTCCAATGTTGATATTCTTTTCCTTTTAACAGCTGATCACGCCTAGTTCATGCGTAACACATCTCTAGCTAAGGGGTTAAATTGAAGTTCACACGCGAATACGGATATAATGAGGTCGAATTATTCACTTGCAAGTAAATAATTCATCAGCGATGTTTCTTAGCTTATTTTGACAAAATTGAACCAGTCTGGCTGCTAAAAGCGAATTATTATTTCACTATTTCACTTTCATTAGTGATTGAACAAAAAAATCATGTCGTTTTTTTTTATGTCTCGTCGCTATTGCCCCTTTAATAATTTACCAGTAATACATAGATTACGTTCATTTAAATCTAAAACGTCACTAAAGACACGGGATTTGCGAACGACACTGAAGATGGTGCCAAAGGAACATCACCGTCCAAAAAGGAAAATTAACAATAGTGAACGAACAATCGTCTTTTTTGTCGTAAATTTTTGTGAGTTTAACTGAAATATCTAAATCTAGGGAATGGCAGTTATTACCGTTTATATTTGATTTATTTAAAGTCAGTTCCTTTGGGTAATGTCGGCAGTATATTTAGAAAATTCTTGATTATTTAATGAAAACGAAAAATTATCATCAAAATAACGGTAAGTGTTGTTGAATTTATCAATCAAGTGCAATTTAGAAGGGTCTTTACTGAGTTTGGCAATAAACTGTGATTTATAACAGTACAAGAACAAATCTGCTATTGAAGAGGCGCAATTGGTACCCATTGGAATACATACAACCTGTCGATAAACTTTATTGTCGAAACGTACATAAATGTTATCAAGCAGAAAATTAATAGCTTCAATCATCTCATCACACTCCAGTAAGTATATTTAGCACATTTACCTTTCTCGTTAGAGAAGACGGCTTTAAATGAGTTGTCACGAGAAAATATATTTGTAATCAGATTTATCAAACAACCATTTAATTAACATGATTAAATAGGACAACTGTTGTGTGATAAGATTGGATGGAAGTGTAGTGTAAAGAGTTGAAAAGTCAAAACTCAACAGAATCAAAAGGACCATCAAAAGCACGTAATTTATCTAAAACATCCAAAGATTTTTTACACTAAAAAAATATTTAATTCCACTAGCTATTTTCATATGTTTTATTATATAAAACTTAATGATAAGTTCGTTGATAGTAGTTAAGGAACTAATTAAAAGCACTGAAAGATAAGTTGTAGAAAACTTACTAGAGGCCGAGATGAAACGATATTTTACACGTTTTTTGGTGTAATTTTATAGGTTACCAATACATACTGAGTAGGGACCGTCAAATGTTCAGAAGAGGCCTTAAGCTGTGATGTGGTTTTGATATGATTGTTTACTATATATGACTCTCTGTCGAGCGCACGGACTAGAATGTAGAAGAATTTAAAATTTCATTCAGGCTTTTAAGAACGTCCGTGTAGTCCGCAGTCCGTTACGACATACCACTACCACATGTTGCCATCATATTGGCTGCTTTGTCGGCCGGTACAAATACAAACGGCTTTGCGAGTACTTGAAGTTTGTTTCTTGTTCTAGAAATAGGCGTATAATGTACTCTTTTATCTAGTTCTAAATTATTTTCAAAATGTAAAATTCGATTACATTTATTTAAATAGTAGGAATCAAGAGATTTTTTATCAGATTTTTCCAGTTTACACCATTTTTTTCACTTCGAAGTTCACTTCTGCATGCGTTATTTGAAGATTTACCGCTAGCTTCTAAAATATATTCTCTAATACAACTGCTGGGGTTTAAATTTCTTCATCGACTTAATAATTTTCAATCCGCATATATATTAAATAACGGCAGGTTATGATATGCTTTAAAAAATGTCCGGCTAAAAAACACACTTTACCTACAAAATATATTGATTTTTAACATGAAAATATAAAAAAAAAAAAGTTTCTGTATTAATTTCAAATGAAATTTCCAACGAATATTGAGAAAATATAAAGTGAACTTTGGACTCTGTAGAAAGAGGAAGAGGTGTGTCAAAAATGAATTGTCTCCCTTGAAAAATTGCCTTGACCTTGTTGGCACAACACCAAATGGCGCTTGGCATTACGTGGTATTCATTTATCATTTATCAAAAACACAGGTTGTTTTAAAGGTAAGGAGTCAAATATTGTAACAAAAAATCAGTTGATTAAGAAACAATCAAATTTAACAAATGTTACCAACCCACATTGCAGGAATCAATAATTACAGACGCGTCCAGGTAGGATATTAATCATCACACATGTTAACCTTACTCCTTAGACTTAGTTTTATAATCATAATATTAAGAAAAGTATAAAAAACTTGCATTTTTAGTTTTCCATGATAACGAAATTTATCTTTAGCACACTAAAGTAAATTACCTGTGAAATAGGACGAAGTCGGCATTGGCAGCTTACATTTATGATTTTTTTTATCTCTGTAAAAAAAAAAGTGTAATTATTTGAAAAATTAGACTTTTTTTTTTTGATTAAAGGAAAGTTATCATTTAAAATGGTAATTTAGGTCACCAAAATTTTTTACCCAGTGTAATGACATAAAATATGAAATGGTTAAGAAAATAATCCATCGCATATACATGTAAAGGTTACAAGACAAAATCGGGCCGTCTACAAAAAAGACAAATTGGGCCGTCAATAAGGTTTGATGGTTAATAATGAAAAGATGTTTTTTATGCCTCTACCATAAGCAATGGGGGCATTACAATTGTAAGTGTTACCCTTGACTGTCCGTCCATCCCATTTTCATTTCCACACTCTTTAAGTTTTCTCATCCAAATTTTATGAAACTCATTTTCGTTCTTTGTGATAGGCGCATTTTCGCTATCGTGATCTGTTTTTCTACAGATTTTTTTTTTTTATATTTTTTATATTTTCGTGATCCGTGATCATGGAAATTTATCTTCTGTGAATCGTGATTGACAAAAAAATCAACTCGTGAATCGTGATGAGACCCCCCCATCAGGCCCCTCATAAACAATGCTAAGAACCCAAACTCACAGACAAAGTTCGAATTTGGGCAGTGAGTCATTTACCGTTCTAGAGTTATGGCCCATTTTAACTTAGAATTCAGTTTCTGCACTCTTAAGTTTGTCTCATCCAAATTTTATGAAACTCATACACAATGCTAAGAACATAAACTCAGAGTTCAAATTTGGGCAGTGAGTCACTTACCGTTCTAGAGTTATGCCTCTTTATAACTTGAAAAATTGCAAAGCTTGAGCAGGGGCATTCATGTCCTCAGACACATCCTTTTTTTATTTTTAAAAATAATCTAGTCGGCTTGGGATGAGTAAAAACAATATATGTAGCATAGACTACATATATGTGGCAGTAAAATAACAAGCTTTGTGTTATGAAACATAAATAAAAACTGTTCTTCTTGAGACATATTAAAACTACTTTCTATTTACATATTATAAACTAGTACGATTACATCACTGTTCCATGTTAGGGGAAGGGTTTGGCACCAGCAAACATGTGTTATCCCACCACATTCTGTAATCACCTGTCCCAAGTCAGAAGCCTGTAATTCAGTGGCTGTTATTTGCTGCTGTATATCATATTTGTTTTTTTCTTTTATTGTTATGTACATAAATCAGTTAGCTTTTCCGTTTGATTTGTTTTACACTTGTCATCTCGGGGACTATTTAAATGATTCAATGACTATCTATAAACATGATACAAAAGACAACTCTGACATATCTATAAAATATGCATACAATGTATATCATGTAGTGATTAAAAAACTTTAGAATGATTTTGATTATTAGTATTGACCTGTTTATATTATAATAATATAGGTTTATATATTAAAATATTTATATTTTATCTGTAGACTAGAGGTGGGGAAGGACCTATTTTAGAATTTTTTCTTAAAACAGAATGCAAAATGTCATTATAAAATTACCATTATATACATGATATATGAGGAATCATTGACAAAGTACATGTACATGTATATCAAACTATTTCTTATTAGCTTATGATGCTGTATTATTATCTGTTATCACAGGAGGTTTACATGAAACTGTCACAATATTACAGGTGAAAATTGAAAGAAAACACGATAGGACTCAATTTGTAATATTTAGTGAAAGATGACTTCCAAAAATAGACATCTAAGAGTCCCATACTAACCTGACATTCCTTAAGTAACTAAACAAGAATTTTCTGTTGTGAGAAGAAAAAATTAATATTTCAAGCTCAAAATTCAAGTGTTCTCCCAGTGACTTATAACAGCATGGTATTGGTACAATAGTGCTACATATGTATCTGAACAGATTTTATAATAGAATGTATTATAGATGTGTTGCTATTATTATTCAAAGGAAACAGAGCTATTTCATATTCCATAGTGCTATATGAATATATTGGGAGAACACTGAAATCACTATATTAGTTGTATAGAAAAGGCACAAACCTTAAGATGAACTAGTTGTAACTGTATGTGTGTATGAATCTGAAATATGGGGATTTTAAAATGAGAATGTTACAATACTTTGTAGGTAAAAAATTAGTCTCCAGTTTTCTGTATGTAAGAAATTAATCTCCAGTTTTTATTACATACATGTACCAATAACCCTTTTCAGTTTATGTGGATCTATTATCAAATCAGCTTTTATCTTTCAGATTATTGGATGCCAGTGGAACATGGCTTTGCTCTACTAAGAGTATTGATGTGGAAGAGCTGTGAAAGAGAAACATTTTGGCCATGGGGACACCCAAAGTCCCCACCATGCACCATCTTCAGCATGAGGCAAGACCTCTAAAGTGCCAAATAACAACACCTGACGAACCTTCTCATCATACAGAATCTCCCATTGATACTAAATATATTGTCTCACTTCAAGTTCAGTCAGTAATGCGAAAGCATAGGACATCACCGAAGGTTATACTCAAAGCTAGCATAACTTCTGTCCTTGCTATAACCATTGGTTTTATAGTGCTTTATACCTTTTTATTGAGGTATTTCCCACCAACAGTACCATACCACAGCTCACACAAAAGTCGAATTAAATTGATTCCAAAATTTGGCGGATCATCAAAATTTGCTGCAATGGAGAATCATTATTATAGTCTTAAATGGAATATCACAGAGATTTTAGGAAATACTCCAGGAAATATATGCAAAAGTGGTATAGAATTTTTAATTCTTATAGTGTCTGCACCAAAAAATGTACAGAATAGACAAATTATAAGAGAGACTTGGTGTAATCCAGTTTTGTACAAACATTCCCAGAATGCATGGCAGTGTTTGTTTCTTATAGGTAAAGTAGACTCTAGTGACTTACATGACAGTTTACAAGAGGAATTCAAGTCTTTCAGAGATATAATATCAGGCAGCTATACAGACTCTTATAGAAACTTGTCGCTAAAAGTGATGCAAGGATTCCACTGGGCAAGCCGGTATTGCCCAGCCAAATTCATATTGAAAACTGACGACGACTGTTTTGTTCATACTCATAACTTATATAATATCATAATACACCATCAAGATGCAAACAGTTTATATATGGGTCACGTCCAGTCAGACCCTAATCAGCGTAAAGTTATACGTGATCAAGACAGTAGGTGGCATGTGCTAAAAGAAGAATATGAGGAGGAAACATATCCTCCTTATGTGAGTGGTGTAGGGTATTTACTCTCTGCTGATGTTGTCAAAAAAGTTGTTAACATTAGTCAGTACATAAAAATCATTCCAAATGAGGATGCTTACATGGGAATTTTAGCTCAGGAAGTGAACATTCCCCCAACAATTAGTGCTAGATTCCAGTTGGCATCGACTGGATGGTCTATGTGTAACTACATGTACCTGCTTGCTTTTCACAGGGTTGAATACAATAAACAGAGGGAAGTGTTTGATAAAACTCTCCAAGCTTTACATGAATGTAAAAATACTCCAAAACTTACTTGGAACTAATACCTTACAATTAAAAAGTAAGTATAATATAGCATGCAGGTGATAATGACAGTGAGTACCTATATACACATAATACTTTTGCTTTTCTCAGTCTAGTGTACTGATTGATATTTTAGTGTGGGAAAACATGATTTATTGCATTGATACATGTATATATTAGTTGTAATCAGTTTTGAATCAGATTTCAGTCGCAGGGAGTATTCCTAGTTTGGTACATGTATATTTCTTCTTTTGTCATAATGTTATTTTTTTTAGTACTTCGTCATGATTTGAGTGTTGACTTTTTTTTTGTATAAACATTTGTAACATTCAAAACCATGCTTGTAAAAAGTCAATGCAAGATCCAATACTGACACTACTGGTCAGGTCAATTATTCTTGTGGCATCTGAACAGTTTCTAGGCATTGAAATCAACATAACTCGGGTAAATCAGTTTGTTTCAGCTGACTAATTTATCTTACAACTTTCCACTTAAATTTATGAACATTGATGCCATTTGTAAACTTATTTCCCAAAAGACACATAAAGCCATGACCTTATTCTTTGTATTGAATTTAAACTTCGTTTCATCTTAGCAATATTATTTTCAACATATATCTTTTTAAGCTGCTCTAGATAAAATAAAAATACAGTGACTACTGAGACATGACTGAAACAAACATTGGGTTAACATCATGTATGATTTTAGTTGTAATAGAGATTTTTGAGATTTAAGACTAAAGTCTCTGTATTTTTATTTATTTTATATTTATGTTACAATTACATTTATTATTTATGACATCATGACTTTAGATTCTCCACTCTATACAAAAACAAAATAATGGAATTTGTATGTAGAAATACAATTTCAGTAAAGAATTAAGCTACTTGTTGACTTTTTGGTCTTTTCATGTTACTAGCATTTGTGTCAGAAAGATATGGTTACTGTTCAGATTAATTAAGCCCCTTGAATCTTGATAAACATGTATAAAACTTTTATTATGCCCATGAATTTACATTTGTACCAGTATCAGTTGTCTCAAACTGCTTGTAGAGAGAAGTTCAATGTTTACTGAATGCAAATATCTTCTGCATTCATGACATACAGTGATCATAGAAATTGAAATTTATTTATATAGGAAATTGTTTATTTAAATGAAATTTATTTGTATTATATTTCTTGTGTATTAAATTAAGCATGAAGCAAGCAACTTTTAAATGAAATTCTGCCAAATTCATACAATGGGCAAGAAGTTATGTCAATGTAAACAGTTTAGGGTAAAATGTTGAACTTGAACCAGCTGAATTCAGTACATTTAAGTGGTAGACTGAGATAAGAAGTTTAGATTTAATACAAAGAATAAGGTCATGGCTTTATTTGTCTTTTGGGAAATAAGTTTACAAATGGCATCTGTAAGATAAATAAAAAATTCTAAAAATTCTGTGCAATATCAATCATCACTTGGGTCAACCCTAGGCCTGTATATATATATATATATATATATACAATGTATATATATTACATAAAATTGAGAATGGAAATGGGGAATATGTCAAAAAGACAACAACCCGACCAAAGAGCAGACAACAGCCGAAGGCCACCAATGGGTCTTCAACGCAGCGAGAAAATCCCACACCCGGAGGTGGTCTTCAGCTGGCCCCTAAATAAAATTGTGTACTAGTTCAGTGAAAATGGACGTCAACTAAACTCCAAAACATATAAATGAACTAAAATTAAAAAAACATACAAGACTAACAAAGGCCAGAGGCTCCTGACTTGGGACAGGCGCATAAATGTGGCGGGGTTAAACATGTTTTGTGAGATCTCAACCCTCTCCCTATACCTCTAGCCAATGTAGAATAAAGAAACACATAGCAATACGCACAGTAAAACTCAGTTTAAAAGAAGTCCGAGTCCGATGTCAGAATAGGTAACAAAAGAAACTAAGCAAAATGACAATGATACATAAATGAACAAAGGACTACTAGCAGTTACTGACATGCCGGCTCCAGACCTCAATTAAACTGATTGAAAGATCATGTCTTCATCATATGAAGATATACATGTATATAACTTTTGTTCTATACATAATGTGCAAGAAATTGTATGTCAGAAATGTAGGACAGATTTAAACCTTTGCATAATCTGCCAAAAATAATCAATTTATATTCTGATGAAAAGAACTCCTCTGTCTGATATAAGTTTTATTCAGTAAAGTATGTTTGTTACTCTTAAATGTCACATCGTGTGTGTAAGACTAAATTAAGTTTGCACTTTGACTCATAAAGATAATTTTCTGTTGTGTAAGATTTATAAATCAGTTGAAATGTTTATTATGTTTTGCATGAACAATTTCTTAACTGTAAAAGTTTTTAAACACCATGGCCATTCATTTTGATGGCTTAAACTTAATTTTACAGGTGACACGTTTATGTTACAAAAGCAAATACCTGCAACAATAAAAGTCTAGAATAGATTTTATCATGTTGCTATGTTATGCAAGCTTTAAGTGGGTCTGTACTTGCTTCAGGTTACTTCATTGTCTATAAACATTTATAATGGATGTTAATGTGGGGTTATTAAACAGAACAATTAAAAGTTGTGTATGTTGCATATTCCTGAGATAATAATGGTTAACAAATTAGTCATTCTTTTTTATTACCATAGAAACAATTACTAATCAACCTTGAAAAACACATTTGTTTTTCATTTATTGTTAACATAGAAAGTCACCTTGAAACATAAAAGTACATGACTATGACATGTGAAGCATGCTACTGTTGTTAGTTCAGGGTCTGGTGTACTTCAGGTCAAAATCTAGTGAAGTGAAGCATGCTACTGTTGTATGTCCAGGGTCTGGGTGTACTTCAGGTGAAAATCTAGTGAAGTGAAGCATGCTACTGTTGTATGTCCAGGGTCTGGTGTACTTCAGGAGGTGAAAATCTAGTGAAGTGAAGCATGCTACTGTTGTACGTCCAGGGTCTGGTGTACTTCAGGTGAAAATCTAGTGAAGTGAAGCATGCTACTGTTGTATGTCCAGGGTCTGGGTGTACTTTAGGTGAAAATCTAGTGAAGTGAAGCATGCTACTGTTGTATGTCAAGGGTTTGGTGTACTTAATTCAGGTGAAAATCTAGTGAAGTGAAGCATGCTACTGATGTATGTCCAGGGTCTGGTGTACTTCAGGTGAAAATCTAGTGAAGTGAAGCATGCTACTATTGTACATCCAGGGTCTGGTGTACTTCAGGTGAAAATCTAGTGAAGTGAAGCATGCTTCTGTTGTATGTCCAGGGTCTGGTGTACTTCAGGTGAAAATCTAGTGAAGTGAAGCATGCTACTGTTGTATGTCCAGGGTCTGGTGTACTTCAGGTCAGGTGAAAATCTAGTGAAGTGAAGCATGCTACTGTTGTATGTCCAGGGTCTGGTGTACTTCAGGTGAAAATCTAGTGAAGTGAAGCATGCTACTGTTGTATGTCCAAGGTCTGGGTGTACTTCAGGTGAAAATCTAGTGAAGTGAAGCATGCTACTGTTGTATGTCCAGGGTCTGGTGTACTTCAGGTAAAAATCTAGTGAAGTGAAGCATGCTACTGTTGAACGTCCAGGGTCTGGTGTACTTCAGGTGAAAATCTAGTGAAGTGAAGCATGCTACTGTTGTATGTCCAGGGTCTGGTGTACTTCAGGTAAAAATCTAGTGAAGTGAAGCATGCTACTGTTGTACGTCCAGGGTCTGGTGTACTTCAGGTGAAAATCTAGTGAAGTGAAGCATACTTCTGTTGTTATCCAGGGTCTGGTGTACTTCAGGTGAAAATTTAGTGAAGTGAAGCATGCTACTGTTGTTTGTCCAGGGTCTGAGTGTACTTCAGGTGAAAATCTAGTGAAGTGAAGCATGCTACTGTTGTATGTCCAGGGTCTGGTGTACTTCAGGTGAAAATCTGGTGAAGTGAAGCATGCTACTGTTGTATGTCTAGGGTCTTGGTGTACTTCAGGTTAAAATCTACACGTGTTACTGACCTGCATGTACTTCATGAGAAAATCGACACATATGTTACTGACCTGCATGTACTTCATTGCACGTGTTTAAGTATTTGGACAAAATATTTTTTCTCTTGATTAAATAGAAAAAATCTTAATACCTGAAAATCTTTTTAAGTTTACAAATGTGTTCTTTTGTGGTTGTCTTTGATTAATTATTCAATTAATTTTTATTTTATTTTGTTTTCAGACTCCAGGACTTTAGTTCACTTCAGGAAAAAACAGCATTGATTTTGTATTCATCTATACAGTCTACAGCTATTACACAAAGATTGTCAGTAAAGAATTTACACATTGTCAGTAGAGAACTTACAGTCTTACACATTGCAATTGTCATGCAATAAAGAACTTATTCAAGATTGTCAGTAAAAAACTTACTCACAATTTTCAGTCAAGAATTTACACACAATTGTCAGTATAGAACTTGCCCACGATTGTCAGTAAAGAACTTACACAAGATTGAGATTAATTTTTTTTGTTATTAATAATTAAAATCTGATCATGAATCATGTTATTTCATTTATGTATATAAACATATGACACACACACAAAAGTTTTTCTTCAAAATTGTGAAAAAAGTCATACTTTCAAAGTTTGACTGACTTAATATACTTGATATAAAGTTGCTTTGTTTTTATTGAAGCATTCATTATGTTTATGTTGATAAAACAATTTTAGTTATAGAGCTGCATCTGTTAAAAAATTGGTATGAAGAAAGCAGATGCAGTGATTGCCCCTTAGGAGAGCATGATCTAATATCAATGATGAGGTCTTTTATTAGGGATTGTTCACCTAATGACGCCCCACTTGTATTATTATGATCTGAAAGAAAACATTAAATCAATCAATTATCATGATTCTTGCATTTGGTGTGAAGAAAAGTGAACTATATATCTTCCACTTTTCCATGTTTGGCAAACCCTGATCATGAGTATTTCTGGACTTGCACTAAATTTGGAAACATTATTTTCAAAAGTATTCACAAAAGGGGAGATATAAGTTGTGCACTAAGCAGATGTAACCCTGAGTTGGTTAAAAAGTTTGACATTTATTTGTGAGTGAAAAATATCATATGGAAGCAAGAACCATTAAATTTTTGAAGAAAATTGTTTCTAAAGGCAAAATCAGTGGGTTTCCACATATGTTTCATATTTTTCTAGTTAAACCAATTTTAATTTAGTTTTATATCTATGAAGTTTCATCATGTTCATGAAACTGGTAAACAGTATTTGTCAATGACATTACTATGTTATTTTGATATTAAGTTGAACGTTTTTTTTTTCTATCTTAATTTTAATTCAGATGAATTGAAATCTAAAAAAATAATACAAAGTTTTTAAAAAATTGGACAAAACAAGGCTTATAAAAATTGTCTTTAAAAACTCTGAAATTTTCTAGGTGAAATAAGCAGAGATGATCGTAAGTTACTTAACCCCTCCCCTTCCCATCCAGTCATGATATTTTGAAATTTCAACTCTCTAAACTGATGGACCAGCTTCTGCATTGTTGACCATGTCAGTCATGGGTAGTCAAGGTTGTTAGACACCCCTGTAGTTGCCATTGACTCAATTGTAAGTTTGTATTACTACAGTGACCATTTAACTTTATACATTCTTTTCAAAGGTTGATAGAAAGAAATGGCATTTAAAGAATTAAAAATCATAAACAGTCATACATTTTTCAATAAATCTCACATAACATGGTAATGACAGAATCATGAATCTCAACATATTTACTAAATAAATGACATTGATATTTTAAAGGTGCATTGTGAATACACAATAAGAATGCATTCTATAATGTAGCTTATTATGTTTGTCACATTCTTGTAATTTTTATGAAGATCTGGAATTTTTATTCATAATTAACTTTTTAAAAGGTATACATGTATGTAGGATGATTAAGTAAAGTTATGAGACAGACATAATCTTTATATGATATTCTTTTGTGGATATAACAATATTTCTGTGTGCAATTTTTGCTAGTTTAAGATCTGAAAGTGTCAAATAAATGGTTATATAAATTATTTTATGTGCTGCATAATAAAACTGAAAAATGTTGAAAAACATAATACTCAACTTCCTAGCTCAGCATTTTTTTTACAAGAAATAGAAAGTGAATCAAGAAATTTCATTAGATGATATTATTGTTAGGTCTTTTATTTTCATATTTTGAATGTAAGAATTTGAGTGTAATTCCATGTGTGAAAGAGGCAATTATCACTATTGATAAAATTTACACAAAACCTTTTTTTGTATTTTCATAAAAAAAACACCAAAAATGAAATTCAGATGTTATTATGATGAGCTTTATGGGGTTTTAGTTTTACTTTCATTTTTTACATGAACTATATTAATGTCCATGTTATCTCCCCCTTTACATTCCTGAGTTATATATCTGTAAAACCTTTTTTAGAGCACCATAATATATGTTGGAAAGACTATTGATGTTGGAGATTATGTGTGATTTTTTTACCTGTGCCACCTGATTCTTTCCTGGAGTAATACTTTAAATGGCAATATATCTATTTCATAATTCTAATTTAGGCATGTATAACGGCAAGGACATTTACATCATATATGTGGCAGTAAAAGTGATAACAGTGCCTCACTTTAATCAGTATATATATCTGTTTAGATTGAATCTGTGTCATTGTATGTCTCATTGGAAAAAAACTGTTTACTTGTGATAAAGTTTTAACATATCACACTACATTGCAGTTTGAAATCTGTCAATTGATTCCTTTGTTCATGGCTTTATATACATTTTTGTTTTAAATGCCTGGTGCATATATGTTTTTTTATTTTAGATCTTTCTTGACAAGACTATGTACAATAGATATCTTTCTTTTTTATTGACACATTTTGAGCAAGAGTAACTTCCCTTTTGTCACCATGTTGGAGGCTTAAGGGCATACGATACAGTTTTGATCCCACAGTGATTTTTTTACGAAAATTTGCATACAAGCTATTTTCACCCAGTCAATTCAAATATGTAATAAAAAATATACCTTCATGTGCTACTCAAACTCAAATTCCGTCTTTTCATTTGAAACCTATCTATAATATATTGATCTGGCTATTGTTTGGTTTCACTACTTGAATGGGATAAATCAAACTGGGATATAGACAGACATCCGTTTTGAATTTTCCTTGGTGTTTGATATTTTTGTTAATTTACTTTTTACAATAATTTTCACAATTTAAAAAAAAAAATATCCTTCATTTGAGGAAATCTCTAATTCTTCCATAATTTAAAACATAACAAGGAAAACAACTATTATTCATTGTCCCAAAAGATGTTAGTTGGTCATTTAAGAGTAAAATATGATGGTCAGTGAAAGTTTCTTTTATTGCAATTTGCCTATTTAGGAGAATTCATATCAATATTTTGGTTGACAAAGTACAAAATATTTGAATATTTGAATACAATTACTGTAGTTGTCATGCTTTTCATGGGTCCCTATTTGTTTAAGTAAATTTCAACTCTGTGACAAATTTTTAAGGGTAAATAAAGTAACGAACAGATTAATTAATGTAGGCCTTCGTTTTATCTTTATAACCCATTTGGCCAAAGAAAAAATATGTGATCATCACTAGGAGTAAGTACATGTATGTGTCTGGGAAACTATAAGCAATGTGAACATAATGTAGTAATCAAAACTGTAACTAACTTTATTTGAATATACTGCCAATACAATTTAGTATTCAATGTATTAAAATGTGGTAAACATTAATTCATGTCTGATCAAAACCAAATATTGTTAGGATGAACTTAATACTTTGGCATCAAGAGTTTTTATTTTTGTTTGAGAAACATGATTATGTCATTTTCCAAAAGAAAGTTTCCAGGGAATATAGGGTTCATGCCTGTCTGGACTAACCTTTTGTACTATGTTAGTGCAATTTATTCAAATATTAAATCCACCAATAAAAACTTGAGGTCATGATTTAGCCAAGAATTCTTAAAGTGGTGTTAAAAATCATAAATCAATCAATCAAATATAAAAGAATAATGTTCTACACAGTTTTTTGTTAAGTATCCTAATGTATGGCCTTCAAATTTGGAATTAAGCCTTGTCCAACTCAATTTATATGGTCAAGTTGAAACATGAACATGAAACTGGGAACATTATTAGATCTTACAGAAGCAGATGTAGATCATATGTTCATTCATTGTGTTTTGCAGGATTATATCCTTAAAAAGGAAATGTATACTCAATCAATTACCCAATGGTTAGTATTCCTGCTGAAAAAGTCATTTGTAGTTTGTTTAATGGTAGAAATAAAAGAAAAATTTAAGTCTTTATTATGTGAAAATTTATTTCATTTAGTACAATCTTAAGGTACATTGTTTTGTTTCAGAATTTTTCTTGTCTACCTGTTAATTAATTTACCTTCATTTTTGAAACAGCAAATATTCAGAGGTCATAAAGAGGATTAATACCATATGGAGTAAGAACCTTATTGGTAAATGTTTTAGATGTCTTTTGGTTATTTTTGTCATCAGGTTGCTATATCATTTATGTATACCCCACTTATCCATTTATTCATAGTCTTTCATTAAAAAATGTTCAGAAGTTGTCCTATTCTTTAATGTATTGATGAATAAAATCAACAAGGCAATGCAAATATTTGATTTGGCCAGTTTTAAGAGCAAATGAAATGTCCTTAATAACAATGCAACACATTTTGTGTTTGTCAACAAGCAGAGATTTGAAAATACATCAACAAAACTCCTGTTTTCTGTGTTTTACTTGTAATATAGAGACCACCAGAACCTACAAAGTACTCAAATGTAGAGGTCCTTGCATTGTCCTAGTGTTTCTTATAATCACCTTTGAATTTTTTCCTCCTCTCTTGAAATTATTCATCACCACCTTTTTATGTTTTAAACTGAATATTAAGGACTTTAAAGTTTGAAATAGTACTTTATTTTTTAATTTCACGACAGCTATTCAGAACTTAACTTTATGTAGTTTTTGTAGAAAACTTGTTCTCAGTTTACTTCCATGTGCATTAAGTAAAACATTTATTCTGTGGTTATCCCTGAAATAAAGAAATAAAACACCTAAATAGCAAGAAGCATGGTAAAATTATTGTTTTGGTTTATGCTGTTCAACCAATGTTTTATTTTTACAATCTGATTTGCATAATTTGTATTGTTGCATACAATTCTGTTATTTTTTTACATTGTTGATATCATCCTTTGTTTTGTGTTCTCAGATCTTATTTTCTGTTGATGTGAATTAAGATATGGTAGATGGTTTCTGTTTAACAATAATAAAAACATAAAATAAATACATATTTTTTATTTTTTCTAACCTGTGTAAATGGTTAACGTGTATTATTATACTTTATGCAAACTTCTTATATCATCCATTCATTTCATTGGACAAGTGGCATTTGTTAATTTTCACTAACCTTTCATAAGCAGTGGTGTTAATGCCTTAGATTAACACCCACCTGAGGTTTGCAGATTTCGATTCTTATTTCTACATCATTTCCGTCGTTTTGTTGTTGTTATTGAAATAAATTAGACAACAAAAAATGACAGTGGAACGTATATTAGAATCTATATAAGAAAGCATAACAAAGTATCCAAGGATGTGATGTTACATAAAACTAAAGTATAATGTTACGTTACTCGCAATTAAAGTCATTACAGTTATTAGTAAACTATCTTAATTTATGACTTTATTTTTTTACAATTGTCCTTTTTTAAATAACATAGTGCACACTTGAATCATAAGGCATTCAGTATAATCAAAAAAAACATACTGACCTTGGATGAAGGTGTTAGGGTGATTAACACCTTTGGTGAAAAATTATCACCTGCGATTTCGTCTTGTGTGATAATTTTTTCCCTCGTGTGTTAATCTACCTAACACCTTCATCCAAGGGCAGTTTGTTTATACTGTTATACTGACCTTCCATGATTATCTGTTATAGTCAACAACTTTAGACAGGAATATATGTGGGGTATACTTTAATAAGACAACAACTCAATCTTCAGCAATAAACAGGTGTCTATACAATATGTCAAGCTTAGAACTGCACAGAATCAACATAAAAAGTGGAGACATTAACAGACTATTAAAGATATGAAAAAAGAAAGCACTGACAAGGTTCCTGACTTAAGATAGACACAGAAATTTTAAAAGGGATTTGGTAGCTAATTTGCATCATGCTTGCCTATATATTGTATCTTCAATTATAGTTTAACTTACAAGAGAATTACTTTGTTGCAATAATTAAGTTTGACATACTTAATACAGTCATGAATTTTGAATGATGTGTTGTTCATGTCAAAATTAGTGGTTGATGTAGTTTTTTGTACTGCCCACTTATTTTGGATGCTGTGTTGTTCATGTCAGAATTTGTGGTTGATGTAGTTTGTTGTACTGCCCACTTATTTTGGACGATGTGTTGTTCATGTCAGAATTTGTGGTTGATGTAGTTCGTTGTACTGCCCACTTATTTTGGATGATGTGTTGTTCATGTCAGAATTAGTGGTTGATGTAGTTTGTTGTACTGCCCACTTATTTTGGACGATGTGTCGTTCATGTCAGAATTTGTGGTTGATGTTGTTCGTTGTACTGTCCACTTATTTTGGATGATGTGTTGTTCATGTCGAGCGTTGGTGGATGATGTAGTTTGTTGTACTGTCCACTTATTTTGGATGATGTGTTGTTTATGTCAGAATTGGTGGTTGATGTAGTTTGTTGTACTGTTCACTTATTTTGGATAATGTGTTGTTTATGTCAGAATTTGTGGTTGATGTAGATTGTTGTACTGCCTACTTATTTTTGATGATGTGTTGTTCATGTCGAGCGTTGGTGGTTGATGTAGTTTGTTGTACTGTCCACTTATTTTGGATGATGTGTTGTTCATGTCGAGCGTTGGTGGTTGATGTAGTTTGTTGTACTGTCCACTTATTTTGAATGATGTGTTGTTCATGTCGAGCGTTGGTGGTTGATGTAGTTTGTTGTACTGTCCACTTATTTTGGATGATGTGTTGTTTATGTCAGAATTGGTGGTTGATGTAGTTTGTTGTACTGTCCACTTATTTTGGATAACGTGTTGTTCATGTCAGAATTGGTGGTTGATGTAGTTTGTTGTACTGTCCACTTATTTTGGATGATGTGTTGTACATGTCAAAATTAGTGGTTGATGTAGTTTGTTGTACTGTCCACTTATTTTGGATGATGTGTTGTTCATGTCAAAATTTGTGGTTGATGTAGTTTGTTGTACTGTCCACTTATTTTGGATGATGTGTTGTACATGTCAAAATTAGTGGTTGATGTAGTTTGTTGTACTGTCCACTTATTTTGAATGATGTGTCGTTCATGTCGAGCGTTGGTGGTTGATGTAGTTTGTTGTACTGTCCACTTATTTTGGACAATGTGTTGTTCATGTCAGAATTAGTGGTTGATGTAGTTTGTTGTACTGTCCACTTATTTTGGATGACGTGTTCTTCATGTCAGAATTTGTGGTTGATGTAGTTTGTTGTACTGTCCACTTATTTTGGATGATGTGTTGTACATGTCAAAATTAGTGGTTGATGTAGTTTGTTGTACTGTCCACTTATTTTGGATGATGTGTTGTTTATGTCAGAATTGGTGGTTGATGTAGTTTGTTGTACTGTTCACTTATTTTGGAAAACGTGTTGTTCATGTCAGAATTAGTGGTTGATGTAGTTTGTTGTACTGTCCACTAATTTTGGATGATGTGTTGTTCATGTCGAGCGTTGGTGGTTGATGTAGTTTGTTGTACTGTCCACTTATTTTGGATAATGTGTTGTACATGTCGAGCGTTGGTGGTTGATGTAGTTTGTTGTACTGTCCACTTATTTTGGATGATGTGTTGTTCATGTCGAGCGTTGGTGGTTGATGTAGTTTGTTGTACTGTCCACTTATTTTGGATGATGTGTTGTTTATGTCGAGCGTTGGTGGTTGATGTAGTTTGTTGTACTGTCCACTTATTTTGGATGATGTGTTGTTCATGTCGAGCGTTGGTGGTTGATGTAGTTTGTTGTACTGTCCACTTATTTTGGATGATGTGTTGTTTATGTCAGAATTGGTGGTTGATGTAGTTTGTTGTACTGTCCACTTATTTTGGATAACGTGTTGTTCATGTCAGAATTAGTGGTTGATGTAGTTTGTTGTACTGCCCACTTATATTGGATGATGTGTTGTTCATGTCAGAATTAGTGGTTGATGTAGATCGTTGTGCTGTCCATTTATTTTGGATGATGTGTTGTTCATGTCGAGCGTTGGTGGTTGATGTAGTTGGTTGTACTGTCCACTTATTTTGGATGATGTGTTGTTCATGTTGAGCGTTGGTGGTTGATGTAGTTTGTTGTACTGTCCACTTATTTTGAATGATGTGTTGTTCATGTCAGAATTTGTGGTTGATGTAGTTTGTTGTACTGCCCACTTATTTTGGATGATGTGTTGTTCATGTCAGAATTGGTGGTTGATGTAGTTTGTTGTACTGTCAACTTATTTTGGATGATGTGTTGTTCATGTCGAGCGTTGGTGGTTGATGTAGATCGTTGTACTGCCCACTTATTTTGGATGATGTGTTGTTCATGTCAGTATTTGTGGTTGATGTAGTTTGTTGTACTGCCCACTTGTTTTGGACGATGTGTCGTTCATGTCGAGCGTTGGTGGTTGATGTAGTTTGTTGTACTCTCCACTAATTTTGGATAATGTGTTGTTCATGTCAGAATTTGTGGTTGATGTAGTTTGTTGTACTGCCCACTTATTTTGGATGCTGTGTTGTTCATGTCAGAATTTGTGGTTGATGTAGATCGTTGTACTGTCCACTTATTTTGGATGATGTGTTGTTCATGTCGAGCGTTGGTGGTTGATGTAGTTTGTTGTACTGTCCACTTATTTTGGATGCTGTGTTGTTCATGTCAGAATTGGTGGTTGATGTAGTTTGTTGTACTGTCCACTTATTTTGGACAATGTGTTGTTCATGTCAGAATTAGTGGTTGATGTAGTTTGTTGTACTGTCCACTTATTTTGGATGCTGTGTTGTTCATGTCAGAATTTGTGGTTGATAAAGTTTGTTGTACTCTCCACTAATTTTGGATAATGTGTTGTTCATGTCAGAATTTGTGGTTGATGTAGTTCGTTGTACTGCCCACTTATTTTGGATGATGTGTTGTTCATGTCAGAATTTGTGGTTGATGTAGATTGTTGTACTGCCTACTTATTTTGGATGATGTGTTGTTCATGTCAGAATTGGTGGCTGATGTAGTTTGTTGTACTGTCCACTTATTTTGGACGATGTGTTGTTTGTGTCGAGTGTTGGTGGTTGATGTAGATCGTTGTACTGTCCACTTATTTAGGATGATGTGTTGTTCATGTCGAGCGTTGGTGGTTGATGTAGTTTGTTGTACTGTCCACTAATTTTGGATGATGTGTTGTTCATGTCGAGCGTTGGTGGTTGATGTAGTTTGTTGTACTGTCCGCTTATTTTGGATGATGTGTTGTTCATGTCGAGCGTTGGTGGTTGATGTAGTTTGCTGTACTGTCCACTTATTTTGGATGATGTGTTGGTGGTTGATGTAGTTTGTTGTACTGCCCACTTATTTTGGATGATGTGTTGTTCATGTCGAGCGTTGGTGGTTGATGTAGTTTGTTGTACTGCCCACTTATTTTGGATGATGTGTTGTTCATGTCGAGCGTTGGTGGTTGATGTAGTTTGTTGTACTGCCCACTTATTTTGGATGATGTGTTGTTCATGTCGAGCGTTGGTGGTTGATGTAGTTTGTTGTACTGCCCACTTATTTTGGATGATGTGTTGTTCATGTCGAGCGTTGGTGGTTGATGTAGTTTGTTGTACTGTCCACTTATTTTGGATGATGTGTCGTTCATGTCGAGCGTTGGTGGATGATGTAGTTTGCTGTACTGCCCACTTATTTTGGATTATGTGTTGTTCATGTCAGAATTGGTTGTTGATGTAGTTTGTTGTACTGTCCACTAATTTTGGATGATGTGTTGTTCATGTCAGCATTGGTGGTTGATGTAGTTTGATGTACTGCCCACTTATTTTGGATGATGTGTTGTTCATGTCGAGCGTTGGTGGTTGATGTAGTTTGCTGTACTGCCCACTTATTTTGGATGATGTGTTGTTCATGTGGAGCGTTGGTGGTTGATGTAGTTTGCTGTACTGCCCACTTATTTTGAATGATGTGTTGTTCATGTCGAGCGTTGGTGGTTGATGTAGTTTGTTGTGCTGTCCACTTATTTTGGATGATGTGTTGTTCATGTCGAGCGTTGGTGGTTGA